TTTGCATGTATCATCAGTTGGCTTAAGGTAGATATATGTCTTCATTACTTTTGACCCTCGCAATGCAGCTTGAACCACTTTTTGACTCTCCTCTGGACTTTAGAAATCGTCTATCGACTGATTCTCATTTCATGGTGCCTTATATCATTTCAGACTACTGTTGAATTTTTTCGAATTACTTATTCTCGGTTGCCCAGTAGTGTAGCAGCTGTGCGTGCCTTTTCGCTTCCGATGAATACCAAAAAATATTTTGTTATACACATCATAGATACTTTGATGATCACTTAAAAAAAGCCCAGAATTATTAAATACTGAGGTGGCAGTTCCACGCTTCTGTAAGCTGTCGCTGCTGGTTCTGTGTTGTTTGCTTCGAACTTGCTAAGTTGTAGATATATTCGTCGCGCTGCAAGCTACTGGCAGGTCTTCGATGCTCTTGAATCATGAGGCTCTTGGTAAGAGTCATCGTGCCTGACTAGCCACTCAATCAATCCCAAGTGCGATGGCTTTGGGAATTTATTACGTCTCAGGTTGATTCATTTGTGGAGTTTAACGTCCCAAAATCACCTTATGATTATGAGAGACGCCGTAGTAGAGGGCTCCGGAATTTTAGACACTCTGAGGTTCTTTAACGTGCCCCCAAATCTGTGAGTACTTGGGCCTACAGCATTTCCACCTCCATCAGAAATGCAGCCGCCACAGCCAGGATCTGATTCCGCGACCGTTGGGTCTGCAGCCGAGTACCTGAACCACTAAACCACCGTGGCGGAGCGCGTCTCATGTTCTTTAAAATCTTGTCAAGGTGCAACAAAGCTGATTTCTTACCCTCTTGATGATAGGCATGAGATGACTTTTGAAGCACAGAAGTTGCTATAGCCTCCTAAGGTAAGCTTGTTCTCTGCAATGTCCACCCAAAAAAAAACATTTCAACTGCTGTGAGTAGCTCTCTGAGGTTATATAACCTTTCCGTGGTAACTTTCCACATGACTTAGACAACCAAGTTTATGGTGTTGTCATGACGCCAAGTTTACCGGTAAAACACAATCGCAGTGTCATGGCTCCCGGCGCAAACATCACTTTTCTGTCCTGTTCAGTGATGTACTTGTTGTAGAGCATACTTCAGGTATGTATAGTATTTCCGACGTAGCTTTTCTTGCTGAAATATCTAAGCAACAAGATAATTACGCGTTCGCTATACGTGTGCTTTCGTGCCATCGCATTTTCAAACGAAATCAACGATAGCTGTTCTAAGTCAAGCTCGCTACACCACCAACTTGTTGCAACGTTGTTGTGTATAACCTAAAGTTGGTTGTGTCGGTCTGAGATCACATGCACCAAGAGTTGTGCTACGCTCTGCACCTAAACACCACCAGTCTGAAATAGCAAAAAGTCTGGTCCTGTGTCACCAGTTGTCGTAGTGGGAGCTGTCGGCAAAGTAGTACCCGGCATGCCAATCTCTAGGGTCGCTCCTAAAGAAGTGGTCATTTTGGCAGAACTTTACAACTCACAGGGCACAGTTAGGTGTCGACATCCGCTCTTGTCGCGTAAAAGGTTCCGGGAAATTTGGCGAAATAATGCGAAATGTTTGCGCGTTCGGCTCCAGTAACAGCCTTGCACCACCTTTTTTGGTCTGTGCGACAGATATCTCGGTCAGTAATTCTGTGAGATTGTGAGTTGTAGTGTTGCTCAGCGTGCGAGGCTGAAGGAGCTCCTCTATGGATTTAGTAGCAGATAACATAGAAGTCTGTGGAGTCTCCTAGGCAGGCATGGTTTGCGAGTATGTGCCACTAGGTACCATGATTGAATTGGGGATGCAATGATGACAATTTTTTCTGTCCTTTCTGATGGAGTGCTACCTCAATATTTAGAAAAGACGAAATGTCACTTCACCCTTTGTGTTCCTGCTTCAGTGGTGTGATAGGTGGCGTCGTCCTGGATACTATCCTCTTTCTTCCTCTGGCTGTACAATATAACCAAGCTTCCTGGCAAGCACTTGAACACAATGTGATCGATCCCCATAGTGTAATGACTCAGTTGTAACTGGAGGCCTCCGAGCAACCTCAGACGATATCGCATATTGTCATGCAACATCTAAAGCTGCTAAATTGCCTTGGAACTCATTAATGGTGGTAGAATAGGAAGCCGGTCAATATGCTCGTTAAAGTGTAGGTGTCTTCTGCTAAAACGTATAGTAATGTCTCGTCAACAATTCTGCATTTCTTGTGAGCTTACCTGATACGTGCCACCACTCGCTTGGCCACTTCCGTCATGTATGTAAAAAGTTCTTGTTTCAAACTAATGGTAACGTCTTGTTCTGGTGAACTCTGAATGTATATTGCTACGCGTATTTTTCAATGACATACAATGCTGAAAACATCTAGCTCTGAGCGGTAGCGTGGCGTACTGACAAGCCCTTCGAATATGATGTGGTTTTAGTAAAATGTAATCTGGCGGCTATTGTACCCTCTCATGGGTGGGCAGCTTATTGAATCCAAGTGTTGGAGCATGCATAAAAAATACTGTACGTCATAGAGTACGTACACTATCTTCTCGTTGGTTCCGGATACATCTTTGACTTGCTTTTCTATAGCCTTGTCTTCAGTAAAATCAAGCAGCCGAAGCTGAGCCTCCTTCATATTCAAAACAGTGACTGCTGTGAGCCTGATGCACCGCAGTGCCGAGTTTCTACAGTGTTCCTGTAGCAACCTTCATATTTCGCGATCCGCTGGACTTTACAGTTCCGCATATCTTTTGGAGACTCTCGACTGAAGTCATCCTTGTCAAGCGATGACTGTCCCCACGTTTCACTGTACGAAATAGTAAAATAAGAAGAGTCAGCAGTCGGAAGTTGAAGACGTCTCTACTATGCAAGGGCTAGCTTTGAGTATCCAAACTTCGGTTTCTCTTGCCTCCCCCTCCGCCCATGCCCTATTTTCTTAGTTTTAACACCGGTTAGGCATGGGCGCCAACGAGTGAACTGTAGAGAGGCACTAAACAAACTTGATCATCTGAAATGTCGTCAAACTAATCAACGGTTTTGATGAATAGGGTGAAAAGCACCTCAACTAACGCTGAGGGAGAAGCCTCAAGTCCTGCCCTCCCGGCATCATCGCGACCGTGGTGGCTGCATTTTCGGTGGTGACAAAAATGCTGTAGGCCCGTGTGCTGAGATTTGGATCCATCCTAAGGAACCCCAGGTAGTCAAAATTTTCGCAGCACTTCACTACGCATTTCTCATAATCATATGGTGGTTTTAGGACGTTAAACCTCACATATAAATCGAAGCATCATGTCCCACTGCGCTGAAAATAATCTCAATGACACGAGAGCCCGCGAAACATAGCACCTCACTATTATGCTAGAATATTCATCAAGCGAGTGGTGGGACGTGCTTCTGATCCGGAATTTTTTTCGAAAACGTACCTGTTCACAATCAACTTACCTAGAGTTACTTCATATCCAGGCGAATAAATCACCCCCGACAAGCTAACCAAAGACAAAATGTTGTCAGGAGTCAGTTGCAAGTGCACTCAATGATGTCCCCATGCAGTTAGATGTGTAAGTGACCCAATACAATTGACCAGCGCTTCCGGCAATTTAGGTCAACAGTCACATTTATTGTGTTAGGTGGCACCACAAAAAACCCTCTTCTATTTTTTTCGCAACTGTCTTCGTCCACCTGCATGGAAGAAAAGCGAAGGCAAAGGATGTGGCCATGAAGTTCAGCCTAGAGAATCACCTACCTTCCTAATGCCTGACGGGATTAAAAAGTGTTCTCTCTTTCTTGACTGCTTTCTTTTGAAATGCAACCTGTCTCGCAACACAAAGCCCAATGAAATGTTTATTTAGGATATATTCAATGTAACTGTTGCTCAAAATACATTGCTGGGCTAGCTGGTGAACATGCCTACATAAAACACTCTAGTGCTGCCTTACAGAAAAAAAAAAAGTACAAGCCCGGACGGGTATCCTGTTTCCATTTCTGTTATTCGTTTTCACTAAGGCATGCCCGTTTCAACTATACTTGCGAAATTCGGACTTATCTTTGTGACAAAAACTTTATCACGCATATTGCAAGTCCTAGCAATGGTCCAAAAGATACTCACTTCAGCAGGTACAATCCAGATATTAGAAAGAAGGCACTGAATCTTGCTCAAGAGGTATTCAGGACGATTGCACTGACGATATTTCACATGTCAGTATTAGTGGTCAAGACATAAAAAGGAAGGAGTGTTCTTGGTGGAACAATGCTCAGCTTACAAAAGCTATTGTAGGGCTTCTCTGTGATAACTTCGTACCTAAAAATACTCCGTGCCCATCATGTATTGTATATTTTGGTCTTGTCCTCGTCTAATGTAGCGCTACAGTATTTGTTTTGAACAGCTGCTTTCAGCATTCAAATCAGAAAACTTCATAGTGTGAGTAATGGCCGTGTTACAAATTACAGAGAGTATCAATACCAACTTCGCAGAAAACTGGACAGTAGAAGTCATTTGTAAATAAGATTGCTAATCTAGTAGAACTTCAATGCGCCATCATCATCACCGTATTTTATCATTGTCATTTTATCTTCAGTGCGCCATGCTTTTCGAGCCGTTCATCAAACTCACGCACCTAGAGAACTCCGCGTAGAATGTGTTTCAATAAAGTGGCGAGGTTGACACTGATACATCGGCTGTTTTGACATCTTTCACTTTCCTCGCTAATATACTTGATAACAATACCTGGACACACCATTCACTACAAAACATTGGAAGTGGCAAAGAGTGATTCTCTGTGAAAACCGAATGCATTTCTGTTATGAGATGTCTTGAATAATCTCGCGAAACTCGTGTGGGGCGATTATTGCGACATCTCGATTCCCCTCATATTTTTGTACTGTAAAGATTGCATGCTCATAAATACGTACTGGTTTATTTCTTTATTTGCAGCGTCCACACAGGCTGCTCAGCAGGTCTGTTGCACGCACATTTATATGTATTGTTTTATTTCTTCATTTGCAGGTTCTACACAGGCTACTCAGCAGGGATCACGCAAAAGGAAACGTACGTTATAACAATCTCATTCAAGCCTTCTTATATAAATTCGCACATATGTCAGTAAAGAGAATTAGTATGCACAGCAGCCAAGGGATGAAATAAAGTTCTCTCAATGGCTGCACTTTATTCACTATCGCTCTGTAATTTTACCCTCTTTATTCAAAACCGTCGACGCTACTGGTCGTCCACACAGCCGCTTTGTGAGCCCTCACCTACGAAGCACTAATAATGATGTCTGCGTTAACACTACTACTCTGTGTGGGTCAGAGAGAACGGAGTAAGCGTTTTGATTACAAAGAGCAGCGCAGAGCTGCTGGTGGTCTCCCCTATACCAGTACACGCACTGTAGTGGATAGAGCACACTACTGCAGAGTGATTTAGTGGACGCTCCGAGTACTAGCGTGACTACAACAATAGAGAAGGGACAAGCCATGACTCTAAGCCGCTTCGTAAGTAAAAGCCCCATTGTATAACCACAACAAATAGAATCGACCATTCAGCTAGGTTAGCAGGAAGCACAAAAATATTTAAAAAGCCAAGCGGGTGCCTTAGCCAAACATTCCCACCAACTTAACTCACTACAGTTGGAATGAATCATTCAGTATTACAAGGCTAAGCAGCGAGGCGGAATTTGTGGGTATTTACATGCTTATGAGCTTCAATGAACATATACAAGACATGTGAACAAGTTTTATGAGGTTATAGAAGGAAAGACTGACTTCGAGATTGTATCAATGCAAGAATAACAGAAAGGTGTTGTTGTAGGAACTAGTTCTTTGTTTCAGTAAGAAGTACCTGTTTATTTATGTTACAATTACATGGCTGCTGTAATCGGCTGATATGCAGCGGCATGAACTTTTCTTTATGCCTCAGAGGGCATCAGTGCGGGACGTTTAATGCGTAGGTCAAACAGGCCCGCTGATTTCTCGGTAAGTTTGTAGCCACGCAAACAAGTCTTGTTTCAACTATGACACAGTTATTAAATTACAATGCAAAAACATATTGACCTGGAAACAGGTCTTGCTGAAAAAGTGATGTGTTTCCAAGGTGAAGTTTGAGGGGGGAGTGGAGATGTTAGATAAAGAGGAAGGTAGAACGAAGTCTAGTGCCAGCATGTTTTTTCAGACAGAGAGTGCACTTGTTGAAAGCTTCAGAAAACACCTATTTTTATTATCAATGCGACCAAATATTACTTTCTACCAATCTTTTCTGTGGGGGGCTAGCAACAATAGCGTGTAGGAATATACTCGAAGCCTCACGTAGACGGCACCCCCGGATTGACCCGCCTGGGGGGAAGCGGCAGTCGCCTTTTCCTATCTCTCCCTCCCTACATCTTCGTCTTTACCTCCCACTTTTTATCTATCCTGTCTTCTAGTCTCTTCCGTTTACTTCCAAACTTCCTGGCGGCTAGGGTTAACCTTGTGTAGTTACGCAACCTTGGGTAGTTATATCTGGTTATAGCGGCGATGTATGACTGGCGCCTTCAAGTGTTCTACCTTGTAGCGTCCCCCTGTTGGGCTCGGTGGTGGGTGGTCACCATCGCCGCTGAACATATAACGCACCACATGGCCAAATCTTTCCCCCTTCTCTATGATTGGTGTCTTAAAAGGAACCGCACCGATGAAAGCTTCAAGTGAACCGGAAGCGATTGTGACCACTTCCCACGCTTCCTAGTCATACACTTTCTGGCAGATAACGTCTCTGTTGCAGGACTGTCGGTTTTCCTGATAGCTAAAACCCTCGCTAACTTAATAGGCAAAAAGTACGACGCAAAGAAACTGTCATTCGGTGATCTTCTTGTTGAAGTAAGCCAGAAAGAGCATGCAAACACTCTCCTTAAACAGAAGCAGTTTGCCCACCTGAATGTGTCTATCACCCCCCATCGCAGTCTTAACACTGTCAAGGTGTCATTTCACAACGTGATCTGATGCGAAAAACTGAAGCTGACCTCCTTGAAGGCTTGCGAGAGCAAGGCGTAGTCGCCATTCGTCGGATAACCATCAGGCGAAACGATGAAGAAGTGGTGACGCCTCATGTAGTACTAACATTACCGCTCCATCCTGCCAGAATCTGTGAAAGCTGCGTTCCTTCACTGCAAAGTCCGCCCCTACATACCCAACCCTAGAAGGTGCTACAAATGCCAGAAATATGGACATGGGTAGAACACCTGTCGCGGAAAACAAACATGTGCAAAATGTGGTGATCATGAGCACCCAACCGAGAGCTGTACTTCCACGCAAACAGAGTGCCCTAACTGTCACGGGCCGCACGCTGCGTACTCGCGAACATGTGAAATTTTCAAAAAGGAAAAGGAAATCATCCAGATAAAAGTAACGGAAAACATCACATTCTCTGAAGACAGGAAGAAGGTGTCGCTCTTCTCCGGAAGAACGTACGCTGACGCAGCGCGCCGGGTGGCCGGGCGGCATCTAGTGACGGTGGGCACGCAATACAGCTTTGCTGATGCGTGCACATCTCTGCCCCCCACCAAGCAGCCACAGGCTGCACCAATCTCTCACGTCCCGGAGGTCGAACTTCATCAGACCCCAAGAACCACACAGACAACTGAGACACCTGCCTCTTCTGACAAACCTTCATTAGCTTCTGGGGGTCCACCGGAGGCAATGGAAGTGACACCAGGATCCTCAGCGTCTAAGATGCTGACGGAATCATCCCAAGTGAGGCGGGGCTCCGTACATCGCCTCAGAGGGAAAAGACACCCGCCAGTGAAGCCTCCTAATAAAGGCAGCGAAGTGTGAATAAGTCACGCTCTTTTCCTCATTCATAAAAATGGCTGCCGAAAATATTATCCAGTGGAATGGTCGAGGTTTACTTAAGAATTTAGACGACATCTATGAAATATTTGCACAACACCAACCAAACATACTTTACTTACAAGAAACACACCTAAAACCTACACACACTAGCCTTTTGAAAAGATATGTGGTATACCGAAAGGACAGACAGGGCACTCCCCATTCATCTGGTGGTGTCGCTATTGTGGTGCAGAAAGCAGTTCCGTCTCAAAGCCTCACTCTGGTTACTGACTTAGAAGCAGTGGCTATACGAACCCTAAATTTTGGACGAGTAACAACCGTGTGTTCACTATACATCCCTCCAGACTACCAACTCTCTACTAAAGAATTTGAGACACTCATCGACCAGCTTCCGCATCCATTTCTGTTGGTCGGAGATTTTAACGCGCACCACCCTTTATGGGGATGTAGAAGAACGAATTGTCGAAGCTCCTTAATTGAAAACTTTCTGTTGTCCTCCGGCTCCTGTATATTTAATAAAAAAGAGCCAACATACTTTAACGCAGCGCACAACTCATACACAGCAATAGATCGTACTATCGGATCTCCTTCACTCTTGGCAACCACTGAGTGGGCTTTAATTCAAAATCTCTATAGAAGTGATCATTTTCCTGTTTGTCTAAAATACAAAGGAAATACGAGTACAATGACTGCGAATGTAACCAGGTTCCGAGAACAGGGTGCGAACTGGACGAAATTCCGAAAACTCTCAAAACTATCGCGCTCATCAATTGAAACCCTAGGCATCGATGAATCTGAAGCGTTGGTCACACTCCACATTGTACAGGCCGCAGAGCAATCCATCTCACATACATCTAACAATACACGGAACAAAAGACGACCTTGGTGGAACTCTGAGTGCAAAAATGCTCGTGACAATCAAAACAAAGCATGGTCGAAATTCCGCAGATATCCTACAGTCGAAATCTTGGTGAATTTTAAGCGCGCAAAAGCAAACGGTAGACGTGTTCGACGAGAGTCTAAACGACAGAGCTGGCAATCCTTCCTCTCATCGGCGAACTCTTACACTGACACACATAAGGTGTATAACAGAGTAAGAGCACTCCAAGGGCACAGCACTCATCCGATGCCCCTTGTTAGTACTGCCGGTGATACACTTGAACACCAGGCAAATGCTTTAGGCCAACACTTCGAATATATTTTCAGCTCAGCACATTATGCAGAGTCCTTTAAACGACACAAGCTTGCTGAGGAACGTAAGCCTATCCGTGATAGAAGGCCATCTGCTGGAGGGTACAATACTCTGTTTACCATCGACGAATTGAAGGCAGTGCTGGCAACATACGGCGACTCAGCTGCAGGCCAAGACAAGATTACATATGGCATGCTGATACACTTACACGAACACACGCTTGATGTCATTCTCTTACTTTTCAACAGTGTATGGTCCTCCGGGCGTCTACCCAAGGCCTGGAAAGAGGGAGTTATAATACCCATCCTCAAACAAGGAAAGGAAGCCACACTCGTCGCTAGTTATAGGCCCATCGCCCTGACTAGCTGCTTGTGCAAGGTATTTGAAAAAATGGTAAATCGCCGCCTCATGTATTACCTTGAATATAATGGCCTCCTTGACCGCCGTCAAGCTGGAATCAGATCAGGCCGGTCGACAGCTGACCAACTCGTGGCATTCGAATCCTACGTCAGGGATGCCTTTATTCACAAACAACACTGCCTTTCTGTATTTTTCGACTTGGAGAAGGCTTATGACACGACATGGCGTTATGGCATTCTCCTTGACTTGCAATCCCTTGGAGTGTCAGGGAACATGCTGAATACAATTCAAAGCTACCTCTATGAACGTACGTTCGTGGTTCGTGTTGGTAATGCCTTATCAAAGTGATTTACGAAAGAAAATGGCGTCCCCCAGGGCGGTGTTCTTAGCTGCACACTATTCATCATGAAAATGAACTCCATAAGCACCATATTGCCTAAAACAATCTCCTACTCTGTATATGTGGATGACATTCAGATCAGCTTCGAATCATGCAACCTAGCCACATGTGAACGTCAGATTCAGTTGGCAGTAAACAAGCTGTCAAGCTGGCCAGACAAAAATGGGTTTAAGTTTAACTGTGACAAGACTGTTTGCGTACTCTTCTCAAAACTACGCGGCTTAAGGCTACCCCCCAACATTTCAATTAACGGACAAACCATAACTACCAAAAAAGATCACAAATTTTTAGGTGTTGTGGTTGATGAAAAGCTCAGCTTTGTTACACATATCAAACGGCTACGTTTTAAATGCTTGAAAGCCTTAAACCTGCTCAAGATTCTCTCGCATCAGTCATGGGGCACAGACCATGACTGTATACTGAACCTTCTCAACAGTGTAGTGCTATCACGTATCGATTACGGCTTGGTGGTTTACGAGTCAGCTTCAAGATCTGCATTGAAGATGCTTGACCCAGTGCACCACCTTGGGCTCCGGCTGGTCAGCGGGGCTTTCCGAACCAGCGCGACAGCCAGCCTGTATGTTGAGACAGACCGGTGGTCACTAGAACGGTGACGTCAGTTTACAAGTGTCATGTATGCCACCAAGGTGCTTTCCCATGGTGACCACCCAGCTCGTGCGCTATTGCAGGATACATCGAACGCCCTCCTGTTTTTGAGGCGACCATCAGCTACGCCACCGTATCCCCTCAGAGTGGCCTCACACCTTGGAAATATGCACATACCGGTCTCAAATCTCCAACTAACCTCTCACAAGGACACTATTGTGCCATGGGAAATGCAGGGTATCTATTGTGACCTTTCATTTCTAGAGGTAGGAAAAAACGGCCACCCAGTCGCAATTGATCAACACTTCAAGTACCTGCAGGCCAAATACAGGTGTGCTGAATACTATACTGATGCCTCCAAGTCCTCCGCAGTCGCATGTGCGGCACACGGTCCCGCTCTCTCTGAATCTAGAACAATGAACGAACATACCAGTATATTTAGTGCAGAATGCTATGGCATACTTTTAGCTGTAACGGACATTCTAAAGGAGAAAGCACCAGCCTCAATCATATATACAGATTCTCTCAGTGCTGTGACTGCGCTGTCCTCCACTAAGATACTCAAAAACCCAGTTACTAATACACTTCAAAAATGCATCATGTCAGCCCGCAAATCTAAGCTCAAAATAACGCAATGCTGGATTCCGGGACACTGCAACATTGCTGGCAATGAGATAGCGGACAAACTTGCGAAGTCAGCAGCACTCCGCCAATCAGTTGACGTAGACACCATCCCCTAAAAGGACTTGAGGCCGCTCATCACATCCCGAATGCCTAGACAATGGCAAGAGAAATGGAACGCAGCAAATGCAAACAAACTGCCCTTAGTAAAGCCAAGAATAGGAAGATATGTGATGAAAAACGTAACAGGCACCAAGAAGTTGCACTGTGCAGACTCAGGATCGGTCATGCACATGCAAAACACTCGCACCTTTTAAACAACACTCCAGCACCACATTGTGCAAAATGTGGTGATGAGCTGTCTGTCGTTCACGTTCTAATTACCTGTCCGTACCTCGAACCAGAAAGACTGTGTCACTTTCCAAAGCTGTACAAATGTCAGATTCCGCCTCATCCACAATTTTTTCTTGGAGACGATCCCTTGTTTCCCCCAAAAGTAGTCTCAAAGTTTTTAGCTAGTGTAGGCTTCCTACATTCCATAACATATTCTCACTAATCTTAGCCTCCTCTCAATCCTGAGGGGACGGCTGAGATTTTTTTTATCAAATGTCATGCAGCACGCACTCCTTGTTTTGACAAGGACTGTTGACGACAGGGCATGACTTTGTAAAACCCATAAGCATAGCCAGTTTTAAACCAATCACATATAGTCACTACACCTAAGTTTAAGTCCTATACACTACTCTTTTATTCTTGCCACCCTGAGTAGAGTTTTATAATCAAATCGACCAAAAACCGTGTGTTTGGTGCTCTTTGGCCTGAGTTGCCCTTGCGCCACTAAAATCTACCATCATTATCATCATCATCAATATACTCGAAGCCTTACAAAGGAACAAAAGTCCTAGCAATAATTTCTAGTCGAAAATTAAACGGCAGCTTGTGCATCAGAAACATTTATAAAAGTCTGATTTTTTTTTCTTGTTCAAAATAGCGAGTGATCCACTTTTCACAATTCCAAAACCCACCATGAGGATCAGACGGAAAACGCCACCATCTACATCGCTCTCTCCAATAGTTGAAGAAGGTAAGAATTATCTATCTATCTATCTATCTATCTATCTATCTATCTATCTATCTATCTATCTATCTATCTATCTATATGCCTGTCTGTGCCTCTGTTTGTCTGTTAGTCTAGCATTGAAAGAAGTTTTCTCGATTGTGACTATATGGTCATTGCAAGAATATCGTAGCAATCTTGTCGCGTATGCAGCCAATTCTTTCCTCTTCATACGTCCAGCTGATGCCCGCATACAACGAACTACTGTGAGTGGCTATTGTATCGGATGTAATAACCGTTTTAGAGCAAAAACTGCAATGTGAGATCACGATGGCGAATTCTGACGCGTAGTTTTCCGCGACTAATAGTGTTCATAACGCTTATTAAATGAAATGAGAGAAAAATGAAATAAATAAAGATGATCAGGTGCCAATAGCAATCAAATAAGGGTCACCTGCATAGCAGCCAAGTTCTCTACCCCTTAGGTTGTCGGTTGCGTGAGTCTCTCATCCAAACTAACTTTATTCAACTTTCATGCCAGGAAAAGAATGAAGTGAACATGTGTGAAAAACGATTTAAAATAGCAACGTAGCAACCACATGCCAGACGTTGCGAATGACGTTAAAGTGTCGATGCTGAAAGCTCCTACACAATACTAGAGCCTCGGATATATTCCTTCATTTTGTCCAGCCATATATGTAGCAAAGCCCGCTAAATGCTTTAGGAGTGTGTAGCAACTACCATGCTAATATAAGGAAGGAAGAACAAAGGGACATTAGACGCTATTTCACTGATGAAGTTTAAGGCGATATATAGCATACTGGGAACAGTGGCAGCACGCTTATAGTAGTTGTCTCCTTAGTGTTTCAAAACACCCCCTCTCACTAAGAGGAACAAAGTGTAGGTAGGAAGGAGTGGGCGTGAACGCCTACACTGGCTATGGTGTTGACGCTGGCACTAATTGCGGCATTGTGCAGTTGAGAAACTTGGTGAGGCACAAAGCACACAGTGATGAACCGGTGTTTTCTGCTGTAACATGCGAAACGCTGCTAATGGGCAAAGAGAAACAGAAGAATACAATAAGACACAGATGCGTGCAGTCTGCTTTTAGTTTTTCCACACAGTGCTTTTTATTATTCAACAAGGCTCAGAAAAAATATGCCAGCACTGCCTTAGAGGTCATGATCCAGTGCCTATATGTACGATGTAGGCAGTGAATCGTCGTGCAGTACGAGCAGTCGCTTATTTCAATCCATAAATTAGCTATCAGATGCTGCCTGTGTCGGCGTTGCAAGGTTAGAGAGAACCAATATTGGAGATGATAGAGAGAGCAAAAAAGTGCATGCGCAATGAGGGTGGTGGCGCCGCACACCAGAATGAATTCGACTATAAGGTCTTCGCATCTAAAAGGCTCGGAAAGCTGATCTAGCTTTGGGGGGTGATTTAGACTCTAACCAAAACTTTTTGAAGGAAACAGACGTTTCGAAATCAACTTCGTTTCTTCCTCGGGGGTGACTGCAGGACTACGTAGCAGCGGCATCTTCAAAGCATTCGTAGGGTTGATAATGACCCCCTTTCTTTCTCGTTTTGCCATTGAGCCTAGTTCATGTGTATACACTAGGGAAGGGCTCCGAGAGAGCGGCTGATGTTATGGGCTGTCCTGTGTATGTGCCATGACTCGAGCAGTAACATTCTCCTCTAAATAAGCTTGCTTTCAAGAATAGCCGTTTCTTCAAACTTTATCCGGTGATCCAACGTCTCAGCATGATCGGCGACTGCGCTGCGCTCTTTATAAAGCTTCAGCACATCGTAGGCGTTCATCATTCTGCACGAACCTTCGTAAAGAATGGCATAGTGATATGAACCGAATAATGCGAATTTCTTTTCATTGCAGAAAGCTGATATGATTTCTTGAAAGGAGCCTTCATGTCAGTTGGATTTAAAGTACGGCAAAGAAATAATCTTGGTTATCTAAATACCTGTTTCCAGCAACAGCTCTTACATATGCATCGTTTGCTGAAGGAAACATTTTTAGCTCACATATTTTGTGAGAACAATTATGGATGAAAGACTGCATATTGAGTGCGCATACCCATGCCTGAAGGATTTTGGCCGGTTAAAAAAACTTCATTTTGTTAGAAGCAATTTGCTCTCTTCAATTGTGTACGATATTTGCAGCCTGCTTTGTTATTGCTTGAACTCAATTGCCAATACACATTTGTAACATCTCCAAAGAAGTGTCAGTTGACCTTCTCCAGCAACTCTGAACGTCGTTTAAGAGAGGATCATCTGGCAATGTGTTGCATATAATGCAGTTGTGTAGAACATCTTCACGCTTGCTTGATGATAGCGAACAGTCGAGATAAACGAAATAAGTAAAATAGAAAACGGGACGCTTTTGTGTAGATTTTCTGGTGTGATGCTCTTAGTCGCAATATATAGGTGGAATAACCTGAATGATTAGCTGAGGCCTTTGTGCTTAGATATAGGTGCACGTTAAAGAACCTCAGGTTTTCAAAACTTCCGGAGCTCTCCCTTCCAGCGTCTATAGTAATCATATGGCGGTTTTGAAACAGTAAATCTCACCTATCAAACAATGAAAGATTATTTGAGCAAGCAGGTTATCCTTGCGTGCGTGTGGTCTCCATATTGTTATCGCAGAAAGAGTTGCCATTTCAGAATGCTGTGAAGCAGCGACAGCTATTTTACAATAATTTCGCAAAGGTCGATTGTGTTGTGACTCATAATTTTTATAGTGAATAGAGGTGGAACTCATATAGGTGAGTGGTATATCTAGCTTGTCTAAATTTCAGCTAGTCATGCAATCTTGCCAAGTAACTGTAATGTAATGGTTGATGCATAAGCCAAAATTATATATAATACCTAAAATAACTGTCGTTTTTCATTAGCACATACAAAGTGCGTCACAAGATTGTCGAAGCTAATCATCGCGCGTATATACATGAGCCTATGACACCATAGAAGACCTAAAAATTTGTCTGCGAACACTGCCGGTCAAAAGGGGCTGTAAACAGCAGGATCAGCGGGGAATAATCACATTTTATTTGTAAATATATTACTGAAATAAAACCAGATCACTTGACAAATTAGAGCATAATATGATACTTAAGTGTACTGAAATTTGGTCGACAAATTTTATTCAGCTAAATTAGTATTTACGTGCTCATTTTACTTCCGTTTCCTTCAGGTAATGCGGCACGAAACTTGAACTTTTGGAATGGCAGACGTTTGCTTCCTATGAGAAGAGGACCTCCACCTATTACTAATTTAGCATTTCAGGGTGCGTACATTGTTATCTTTGATGACTATCCTTGCAACTGTAAGCAAGATGTATACATTTTGGTGGCAAATGCTTGTAACATCCAGCAAATGCATGCCAGTGAATACATGTTCGTCCTGTAGGATACATATATGCAACCAACTTGCTTTTGTTTGTCCGGCAGAGCAGAAATGATGATTGTGAGACACTTACATGAATGTTTGATAAAGTACTAAGCAACACTCTGCGCACGCTGCAACTTAGAAGTTTTTGTAGTATGCTTACTGTCTTAGGCTGTTCAATTTAGTGTGTCACTTAGTATTTTAGTTTAAAATACAACAACCAAATTTATAACTTTAAACGCTTTTCCTAGCGCCTACACTGGCAATTCTAGGATGGATGGCAAATTCTGCAAAGACGCACAGTAAGACGTACAGGGTGGAAGGGCTTCAAAAAGGCCTGGTATTCTCACAAGAAAAAAACGTTCTCAGGGAACATTATATGGACATTACGGAATAAAAATACTCATTTCTGACACACCCTTTGCTTAATCCTTTATGTGCGCAGAGGCATTGCCAAAAATCTAACTGTTTGTCTATACATTTCAGCTGAATGGGCTGACATGATTTTGTAAAGTGTAAATTTTAATATTGCAGCTTTAAGCTCTGAAATGCACCCGAGTAAACAAACCATGCAAAGAACTGCAGTTCTTTACATTCTCTTGAAGCATGATCACTTTATTTCCCGTGATGATAACCTGATAGTGTGGTACCATAAAGAGGACGCTTCTAATGAAATCTGGCAGTAGTATCACTGGTGTCGAGAGAAAAATTGAGATCGGGGTTAGAAAATATTAAAGAATAATACTTTTTTCTATCCGAGAATGATTCAAACTTGAAACTTTTGTGTGGCAAGTGTTAGATATATTACAGAGTCACATCGCTTGTTGCAAGTCATCTAGAAAAACATATCGCATGAAAATTATGTACTGCAAGGAACACTAGTGGCAAAATGGGAGCCAATAAATAAAAACAAAGATTAGGATACAGTGAATGCACAAGACAGTCTGGTCAATATCATCGAACAGTCTGGCCTATATATGGTAGAAGCTATGGGATGCATATTGTGACGCCATGTAGTTGTCAACAGGGTCTGGTAAGCGTTCACTTGTTATATCGTTTGGGTGTAGGAAGGACACCATATTCAGTCAAGGTGCATGGTGTCCTTGGTGAATAAGATCACACAAACGGGAAAACCCCCTTCTGCATGGCCCGCCAATATACTTGGTCCTGCATGGCAGGTGATGTGGAGTGCACCCTAGATTTTACATGTAACAGCTCATGTTTTAAAACAAGTCATTGCTTCTGAAGTCTTCAATAAAATATACCATTGTCTTCTAAGCCTTGAGTCTAAGGTTAGTGGCATTGTCTTCCAAGAGGAAGGTATATAACAGCTGCATCTTGGTGATAGAGTTATTATACAGCTTCACCTGAGGGCTTGCTCCTCGGTGAGAGCTTACGTGGTGGCCATTCTCAATCTTTGCAGCAGGTGTCTGTCAATCAAACTGATTGACGCGTGAACTCAGACAAAACTCGTGTCTGAGGAGGTCCCAGTTCCACTCATGACTGTCATGGGGCCGGTGGAACTGCCAAGTGTTTGACGCGGTGAACGCTAAGCGGAAGCTTCTTTGCATATAAAAGGATTCGGTCAGCTTCAACTACTTGTACAAAGTTGAAGGCATACAGTAGCTTGTGATAACCTAGTTCTTGTAGCTTTTCAAGCTGGTCATCTGCTTATGTGCATCATCGGTTTCGAAGTGAATACCGCATCAGCCCTTCATTGTTTTCATTAAACTAATGGACTAATGCCTGAAGACTATATCACTGAGCTGTTTTCTTTTCATTGATAAGTATTCAATTACATTCCATGCATTTTGGGCCCAATTAGAAGGATTATGATGAATATGTAGCAATAAACGCTATGCTGATTAGGACGATTTAATCGTCATCATGTAGTTAGAGGAAACGTGGCAAGGCTTTATTTAGCATGCTCATAGCTATTGTCGTGTTCTTTAGCGTGGTTTGTTTAGCAAAGCAACTAGCGTATAAGTAAGCCAGATCCTAGCTTCAATTGACTTTATAAGCATAACCTTTCTAAGGTGTGTCGTAATTACCTCAGCTTTACCAAGACTTCACGTAACTAGCTTCGTCCTAGCATATCGTGTCCCAACTAGCGAAATAGCTAATTAGCCGGGTGCACGTGCTCAGGTCCTAGCAGTTGATAGAGATGACAAAAACAATGTGCACATGCCAGGCAGTATGCTAGAGTGTGAGGGCCGACCATTATGATTACCACTTGATTTCGGGTTTAGCCGTGGTCGCAATGCTCTGAGACGCTCAGCCGGAACTAATTTCAGAGGCCACCACGCTGATGTTAAAAAACAGGCCTTGTGCCGGCAATAAAAGGTTCAAAATAAATCTAAAATACCCGTGTCTTAAAACTATCACCACTAAAAGTTTCTGACGCATTTATTAAATGAATCAATTCTGCATTCAGTGGGATGGCAAAAAAATTAAAGATGCCTTTGGTTTGAAAACGCCGCCCAACTTTGTCAACTGCCGGTAGGGCGATGTCTGGTTCCATTGTAACTAATAAAACGGACTACGTTGAGGAATGGAGTCGATTTTTAAATTCGTAGTCGCACGATGTCACGTCTCTCGCATTGTTGGTAAAGTCCTTATTATGAAGAAAGTACCCACATTCTCCTTGATATGCTCACCAAAGTGTCCAACTCTCCTTTCACAAGTGTGCAAACCATATTATTAATATCCTTCTCCGAACAGCGCCCATGCGGGCACCGGCCCAATAACTTGGCTCGCGCCACTTTCCTTTCAAGAAAGCTATCTCACGCTGATAACATGTGCGATGCTCATGGCGGCCCGAGAGGTGCGAGGCGGGTGAGTAGGGTGTGTAGCATGGCACCTCTGTTAAAAAACGTGGCAGCTTATCAACAGAGTGAATGATGGACAGTGGGGCGAAGCATTCGTTCGTCCTTGCTTCCGTCCGTCCATGCGTCCATCCGCCCGTCCGTGCATGCGTCTGTTCGTGCGTGCGGCCCTGCGTTCGTCCATGCATCCGCCCTTGCATCCGTTCATGCGTCAATCTATGCATCTGTCTCTGTGTCCGTTCGTCCATCTATTCAACGCTCCAAGTACCATCATCTCGCACCTTTTCATCATATATTCCCCATATAGAAGCACCGCCATGGAGCGGATATTCAAAGGACTAAACGAGAGGTGGCACACGCACACTTTCTCTTGGCTTGCGCTTCGTATCTACTTCCCACCTCTAACTACCTCAAATTCATGGTAGATACTAGCTCATTGTATTCATGGCACTGCGGCTAAACGCTCGCTAAACCTTTTTAAAACTATGAAGGTTACACCCAGCGAGTATAACGAAGCAACCCTTTTTTCTCAGAGAGTGCTCAATGTACATGCCAATGGCTGCTAATGGGGATTGCAGCTTGCGCGTTACTAAAAGTCGAATGCTCCTATCTCTCATTCCCCTTTAGCAGTCATTGGCATGTACACTGAGCACTATTTTTTATTGTTCAACAACGCACAGAAAAAATCTCCCACCGGCACCATCTCGCAGATCAAAACTAAACAATTGTTACACACTACGACAGCTACGAGGGACGATCGGGTGCCACTATAAAGAGCTTCGCCACAAAAAATGGGGGTATTTTATAGAAATATGCAGGGACTTCAGTTGGTGGTGGCACCGTTTATATCCCTACTGCCCATGTGCGTTTCGCATCTTGCGCCCCATGCTCACGTCTGGTCCCGGCCCAGGAAAACACCCGAAACATTGTTGCTACCCTGCCCCTCTCGCGCCTCGCAAGGCCGACGTAGGCTGCATCTGCTAGTAGAAAAACAATGCTCGCACTGCACAATAAATCAATGGCGAACTTTATACGTAGGCACTAGAATCGCGTGCTCACAATTCAGGCAAGGGCGTTTTTTTTGCTTTCGCTTGAAGTTCTAGGCAGCACTTCCCCTTCATTCAATAAGAAAAACACAGGCACACTATCAATTCGGCATTACGAAACCATGCCCAATAATGCAAAGCTCTCGCGATAATCCCCCCCCCCCCCGACTCTGCGATGCATTTACTCGAGTTCCCCAGAAGGGAAGATACGGGCGGCAATATTTCTCGTACCGTTGGGTCACTCAAAAGGGTATGTCGCCAGAGTTCGGGAAGATCCCAAGTTTTCCGAAACTCGGCCAATTCTGCACAGGGCCCCTGGTACACAATGGTCATGTGATGCAATGGTACGATGCGACAAATATCAACATTCACTCCGACGTAGCGTGCAACTAAGTGGACGTCACATCAGCTGTAATATGGTACCATCTGCCTTGGCCTTACATAAGGTAATAGTGGGTGTCAGAAGTGTTGAAGAGGTTTATATGTCAAAACATGTCAACCTCACAATACGGGGGTGCTTTAAAAACTTAGCCTTAAGGAAGTGCACAGATTTATTTATTATCGTCAGCAGTAAAAGCGTCAAGAAAGTGAGAACCTGCATAAAAGTTCTTGTTTTTTTATTGAAGCACAATGGTTCCTTCGCTAATTTAGAAAAGGGAAGCTTCTATGATAATTTAACAGGTTCTATGTTACCAAAACAAAAGTCTTTTTCGAAATGGCATAGATTAGTGTTCTGAGTGAGGTGATGCATATTGGGTTGGAAAACGGTACAGTGCTCATTTTGTGCAAAGAAGGTGAAGCCTCTCCCTTGTTGAAAATCCCAAGTGCAAACACCCCACAAGATGAATATTTGTGCCGTGTTTTGATTTTTTTCACACCACTCACTAATTAGGCCAGTAAATGCGGAAACGTTGTTTTTAGTGTTCTTCTGTTATATATATATATATATATATATATATATATATATATATATATATATATATATATATATATATATATATTGTAACGTGGACTGAAA